AGTGGGTCATGATGGTCTCCATTAACTGCACGTTCCATTTGTTCACAGTTTAACAAACGATTACAATGTGATGATAAGTTAAATGCACAAAAACAATAACTCCCATTATTATTTGACAAACATTTATTATTATTATTATTAATTTAAATGTTCGTATTTTACAAGGGAAAAAAAAATTTATTTTACTTTTCCTTTTTTTTATAGAAATTTTAAATTTTAGAAAAAATTTTCGTTTTTTTTATAAATTGAAATTATTTTTGAATATAGAATGAAAATGCTTATTTCTTAAATAAACAGTGAAAATGATTGAGAGAAAAATAAAAAACATTGAAATGAATTCTCTTTGCAGTGCAAATATTTTTCTTTTTGAAATAAAAAAAAATTTAGGGAAAAAAAAATAAAGAAGGAAAAATTTTATTAATTTTATTACTTGTAGAAAAATACAATAATTTTGTCTGACTAAAAAACGCTTTTACTACTGATTTTAAAATTATAATTCAGAGCTCTTTGTTTGATTAAATATGATTGGGACGGAAAAAATATTTTATAATAGAAAAGTTCTTTTACTACTAATTTTTTACTTTGTACTGTCTGACTGAAATTGACATTTACTACTGATAATAGAATTAGGCGAATGTTCTGTCTGACTGACGTTGACTCTTACTACTGGTTTTGAAAAAAAAATTTGAATGTCTGACTAAAATTATCTTTTACCACTAATTACAATATTATAATAATTCGGAGCGTTCTGTCTGACTAAAACTGACTTTTACTACTGGTATCAAACTTTTAAAAAAAAATTGTCTGACTGAAATTTGCTTTTACTACTTATTATAATATATAACTTAAATTAGGAGCACACAGTCTGACTAAAATTAGCTTTTACTAAAAAAAGTCTGACTAAAATGAATTTTTACTACTGGTACTAAACTTTCAAAAACTGTCTGACTGGAATTTGCTTTTACTACTTATATCACTTGAATTAGGATAATATTGTCTGACTAAAACTGACTTTTACTACTGGTAACTAAAAATGTCTGACTACAATAGATTTTTCACTACTAATACCAAACATAAAAAAAATTGTCTGACTGAAATTTATTTTTACTACTGATTCCAATATTAAAAAAAAAATTGTCTGACTAAAACTATCTTTTACTACTGATACCAAATTATAACATAAATTATCTTTTACTATTAGTTTAAATTGAATTAAACAAATTGATTCAGTAATAAAACAAAACAAAATTAACCATAAAAAGCAAAACTTTAATTCTTATTTTGACAGTGAAAAATATATGTTAATTTAAAAAAAAGAAAAAATATCTTCTCGAAGAAAATAAGAAGAAAGAAAATTTAATTAATTCCAATAAAATGAAAGGAAACTATTTTTTATTAACATATAATTTCCAAGTTAAGTAAATTATTTAATAATACCAACATAATGAAATCCATATAGAAAAGGCACGAATTTAATATTCTAAAGTTCAGTTGACGATTTTTCCAACCGCAAAAAAAAAAGCTGTCCGCATTGCTGGACTCGCGCTGTCCGGAAGCGTTTTCATTACGTTTCTTTTGACGTGAATGAAATATATGTTCGGACTTTACTGGAATCCCGCACCAACTAGAGAGTAATAAAACGTAGAAAGTACGAGCTTCCCTGATGTGAAACTGAGCGTAAAATCCATACCCTTTCAAGCCACCTATGTACTCTTCTTCTATACGTGTAGATATGTAGACATTTACGGTGTTTTTTTTTTCTTTTTTTCTTCTTTTTTTTTTTTGGTTTTGTTTATTTACTTTTGAGTATTGAGTACAGCTCAATAAGTTTTGTCCATTCTATACAACAACAAAATATAAAGACGTATTATATACTAAAAGTTTATTATATTTTTCATTTCTTGTATAAAGTTTACGAAAATCAAAAAAAGATTTATTTCTACAGTCGCTTTCTTTTTTCTTCTAATATCGTTTTTTTTGAAATTTATTTGTACATTAAATTAATTAAATCAATTCGTTAATTTAATTCACAAGCAATTTTAGAGAAATTTTTTAATGTCTAATTAATCGGTAATTAGTCGATAAGGAAGTATAATAATAAAAATAAAAAAAATAATACTAATACTAATTAATGCTAATTATTACTAATGCTAATTCTAACTAATACTAATACTAATTAATGCTAATTCAGACTAATGGTAATTCTAACTAATGCTAATACTAATTAATGCTAATACTTACTAATGCTAATACTAACTAATGCTAATACTAACTAATGCTAATACTAACTAATGCCAATACTAACTAATACTAATACTAACTAATGCTAATACTAACTAATACTAATATTATCTAATACTAATATTAACTAATACTAATACTAACTAATGCTAATACTAACTACTACTAATACTAACTAAAGCTAATTCTAACTAAAGCTAATACTAACTAATGCTAATACTAACTAATACTAATATTATCTAATACTAATATTAACTAATACTAATACTAACTAATGTTAATACTAACTAATACTAATATTAACTAATACTAATACTAACTAATGTTAATACTAACTAATGTTAATACTAACTACTACTAATACTAACTAAAGCTAATTCTAACTAAAGCTAATACTAACTAATGCTAATACTAACTAATACTAATATTATCTAATACTAATATTATCTAATACTAATATTAACTAATACTAATACTAACTAATGTTAATACTAACTAATACTAATATTAACTAATACTAATACTAACTAATGTTAATACTAACTACTACTAAGACTAACTAATGCTAATACTAACCAATGCTAATACTAATTAATGCTAATACTAACTAATACTAATACTAACTAATGCTAATACTAACTAATGTTAATACTAACTAATGTTAATACTAACTACTACTAATACTAACTAAAGCTAATTCTAACTAAAGCTAATACTAACTAATGCTAATACTAACTAATACTAATATTATATAATACTAATATTATCTAATACTAATATTAACTAATACTAATACTAACTAATGTTAATACTAACTAATACTAATATTAACTAATACTAATACTAACTAATGTTAATACTAACTACTACTAAGACTAACTAATGCTAATACTAACCAATGCTAATACTAATTAATGCTAATACTAACTAATACTAATACTAACTAATGCTAATACTAACTAATGTTAATACTAACTAATACTAATATTAACTAATACTAATACTAACTAATGTTAATACTAACTACTACTAAGACTAACTAATGCTAATACTAACCAATGCTAATACTAATTAATGCTAATACTAACTAATGCTAATACTAACTAATGCTAATACTAACTAATGCTAATACTAACTAAGGCTAATACTAACTAATGCCAATACTAACTAATACTAATACTAACTAAGGCCAATACTAACTAATACTAATGCTAACTAATGTTAATACTAACTAATTTTAATACTAACTAATACTAAAACTAATACTAATGATGTTAATAATATTATAATATTATAATTTATATCAACTATAGAAATTTCTAGTATTGAAAAGTAATTTTCAACTAAATTGAACTTTTTTTTTCAATAATCGATCGAAATTGAACCGATTAAATTTCAAGTTCGGTTGGGAAATTTGTACATAGTGAGAAAGGTAGTTTAAGGAAGAAGAGATTACTTGATAGAATGGAAGGAGAGCGTATAATGTGATTTGCCAGGAAAAGCAGTGTTATTGAAAAAAGTTACTTTTGTAGTTGCGAGAATACGATACTTTAAAAAGAAAAGTAAAATATGGTGTGCTTTGAAAATTGAGCTAAATAACTTTCATTTTAGAAGTGCGAAAAAGAGAAATATTTTTCACCAATAAAAAAAAAAAAATTCCTGTTAATTATACATAAGCTTTTACATTATATTGAAAACTTACTTTACTACACTAAAAATTGTATTCTTAATTTAAGTATATATATAATCTAAAAATACATTTCATAAAATAATTTTTAAAAATAAAATAATTATAATTTTTTAAGCAATTTTTAGATTATTAAATTTTTTTGTTTTGAAACAGTTTTTTTTTAGGATTTTATTAACACATTTTATGTCATTTCTTTATTAATTTCACATGTTTTACGAGAGAGAGAGAGAGGAACATTTTTTTTTTTTGCCTTTTTATTTTTGAGATGATATTTTTGGGAAAATGTATAAATGAAATATTATTAGTAACACCTCGAACAATGTAATCACATTTACCAAACATTTTTTTTTTTTTTTGCTGTATGCGTACTTATGTGTACATAAATATATACATATACAGATTTACGATTTGGAAAATGTAGCTTTGCTCTTGTCCCTTATTTGGACACTCGCCATCGTGTCGTTTTCATTTCCGACATTTACATCTCTTCCGGTATAGCTGACCCACGCGTAATTCATGATTCTCTGTTTGTTTTGTTTTCTTTTTTTCCTTCACGACTATAATGTGTTGACATTTGTAGCTCGCACTGAAATTGATTTCATAACTTTTTTTTTTTCTTTTTCTCTGCACCTTCATGTTTCACATTAAAATAATTATGAAATGTATATATATATATGGCGAGTCACAAACTAATTAATTATCCAAAGTTTTCTTTTTTGGAAAATTAGATTTTATTTTAATTAGAAGCATTAATTAATTAATTAATTAATTTAATATTAATTTTTATATTATATTTATATTATTATTACATTCTATTTATATTAACTTTTTGATTGTTAAATAAAAATACGAAAACTATTTTTTTTTGTAAGCAAACGAAAAAAAAATTATTCAAAGAAAGGTCATAGTTAAATTTCAATCGCCCGTAGAAATGTATAAATAAATATTAATTACTTTTTGTTAAATATTATTATATAGCAAGAAAAAATATAAATATATTGGAAAAATCAATTTTTATTATTTTAATTATAAATAAAATTTAAAAAAAATGAATTTATTTTGCTTGCAGTATACGTCGGGAATGGGAGCGGGCGGACAGGCAAGCAGTGTCAGCTACAGTAGCGTTAGTCAGAGCAGTGATGGTGGTGTTTGTGCCCCTCCGCCTGGACCACGTGGTAGCAGTATATGACGACAACCTGGGCCCCGACTTGGGCCACGACGTGAACGTGCTATTCGCTTTCGGGACACGTGATTGTAAAGGAATTCTAAACGAATTCATTCCATTAATCCCGAACTCAAACTATTTCCGCACAATCATCCTCTCGAACGGATCAAAAAAAAAAAAAGAAAACACAACCTTCTTTTGATGGATTTTCCCAACCTTCTTCAAATTCGCGCTGATATGTTTTTCCAAAACAGTGGGAAAAAAAGGAATAACATTTTTTTTTACAGCCAAACTTTTTGCCGGAAAAATAGGTGGAAAACTCGATTTATAATTTTCCAAGGTGGGAAATTTTATTGACGGGAAAAAATTGATTTCTAATATTTTCCAAGGTGGAAAATGTAATACAAAAATAGGGAGGAAATAATGTAGGTGGAAAATTTTTCCTGAAAAATAGGTGGAAAACTCGATTTATAATTTGCCAAGGTGGGAAATTTTATTGACGGAAAAAAATTGATTCCCGATATTTTCCAAGGTGGAAAGTGTAAAATAGGAGGAAAATAATATAGGTGGAAAATTCCAGATGGAAAATTACATAGCAATTTTAAACAGTGAAAAAATTGCCAAAATAAAAAATATTAAAAGTGGAAAAACTACTGAATATGTAAGGTGGAAAATGTCATTTTCATAGGTTGGACCTCAAATTGTAATTTTCTAGAAAAGAAAATTTTCAATTTGGAAAATGCTATAGCTTTGGAAAATTTCATAGGAGTGGGATTTTTTTGAAATGGTAGAAAATTTCCAAAAGGTGGAAAATTCTACAGAAGAAATTTCAATGAGAAGGAAAACTTGTAATATTCATGAAAGTGGAAAATGACCGTTCAAAATCATAGGTGGAAAATTGTGGGGAAAAAACACATGAAGGTGGAAAATCCTGTAAATTAAATTGTCAATAATGGAAAATTCGAATATTTTTAGAATTCATAAAAAAAAAATACGTAAATTTCAAGAGACTGTGGGAGAATCAAGAAAAAAAAAACCAAATGCATCGCGTGTCTTCCATGCTGGGAAATTTTTGTGTGTGCAAATTTCGCGCGCACCTCGTGAAAATTTACATAGATACACTTACATCCCGCAAAAATAAGACAATTGTTTCGTCTAACAACTTATTTCCCCCGAGACTCTCTAAGCCTTCCAATTCTCGAAAGCAAAATGATACTGTGTGTGTTCGTCTTTTTTTTTTTTTTTTTCAAATGACTTTTCGAAAAGTTTCTTCCGAAATGGAAAAAAAAGGGAGGAGCAAACGGCAACTTTTCTTCTTCCAGTGCTGTGATGTATGTGTGTGTGTATAATAAAATGTGCGTATGCCTGCTTTGTTCAAATTTGTCTCTCGTCTTTTTTTTTTATTTTTCTTTGTTCAAAAGAAAAGTACGATTGATTTCTATATATATATATATATATAAGGAAAAAGTCGTTAATAAAAAAAAAGAAGTTTCACAGAAGAATGATTTTTTTTTTGCGCACGTGTCGACTGAGCGCTAAAAAAAAAAAAGAAACAATATTGTAGTGATTTAAAAATTTTTACTTAAAATTATAAGTAAGGAAAGAAAAATTAGGCTGGAGAAATATAAGACAATTATTCTCATTGTTAATAATTATTGTGCATATTATTATATATGGCTCAGAGAATAATTTCTACTTGTAAATTTTTCTCACATATTTGCGATCCAATGATTATACAGATAAATATTATAATAAATAAACACACTGTTAATATAAAAAAAAAGAAAATTAATAATAACGTCCTGGAAAAATGTCCAATTAAAAAAAAAAAGAGAAAAAAAAAAACTCTTGTCAAGCAATGTCAAAATTGAATGTATAATTGAAAAGAGACATACAAACGACTGAAAAGTTATACTTACAATCAATTTAAAACTGATGGTTTCTTATTTCATTCACCATATAAATATACTTTTCCTTTTCTTTCTCTTTCCTCGCTCACAGTTTGCAGAAGACATCGAGAGATTTTTATTGAAGGTATCGTTTTATTATACAGCAGATTCTGGAAAATTGGAGTTTCCTCAAACTTTTATCTATGACGGGTTTAAAATTTTTTTTTTTTTTTTTTTTGTTACAATGTCTTCTTTTTTCGTTATTTGAATTTTTATCTATAAGTTCTTTTTTTTATTATTTAAATTTTTTTATTCGTCTACATTTTATTGTTTGTATTGAATTTTATTTTATTTAAGCATTATATATATATTATAAAATATGTATAATTTCGTATTTTCTCAAAATAAAAACTAAAAAATTTTTTACTAATTTTTGTTTTAATGTTATTATTATTTTTTTTATTTTCAGAAATATTAAAATTAGAATGCTTCAATAACAAACTTCAGGAATACGTGAGAAATTTCAGGTATTTATTATTAAAATATTTTATTAATTTTTTATTTTATGTCCTTGCTTTCATTTCTTTTGTAAGGTCGTTAAATAAATTAAAAACAATATTGAATTGGGATTTAAAAAATTTAATTAATTTGAAAAATTATTTAATAGACTTATATATTTTGCTTTAAAAAATATTTTTTTTTTTTGTCAAATTTTTCTGTATAAAAATTATTTTTTTTTTCCTAATTTATATATATATTTGATTCTAATTTATAAAAATAGACTTATTGCAATATTTATAAAGAGAAATGTGTCTGATAGAATATGATATATGAACTATGGGAATTTAATGGAATAGATATTGTGATCTTATCTTTATAGAGTAGATTTAGGTACCTATTTCGTGAAAACATAGACAATCAATTGAATTTAATTGTCTCGGCAAGCGATAAGTAAGTTTATAGCCTATATATATATATTTAGCTATATATTTAGCTATATATATATAATATATATCTCGAGTACTCAAACATTACTTTTTCCCTCTGCTTTTTCATTTTAAATATTGAAAGCATGAAAATTAAATTTTCGTTACATCCGAGAGAGTGCCTGAAGAACTTGTGCGTTCATTCTCGTGTCTCATTCACCTAGTAAAATTGCATTTTTCAAGAATTTCCGGTAAGAAAGAAAATACCACTCAAATACACGAGCTCAGTAATATTACTTTCTTTGAAACACTTAAAATTTTTAATATTTCGTTAACAATAACAATAATAATAATAATAATAATAATAGTAAAAAATAATAGTAATTAATAATAATAATAGTAAAAAATAATAGTAGTTAATAATAATAATAATAATAATAATAATAATAATAGTAAAAAATAATAGTAATAAATAATAAAAATAATAATTTTCTACTTATCTAATTAAAAAAAAGGATTAATTATTTAAATTGTTAGAAAATTTATTTAGAAATTTTATTCTTGATCAACGTAAGAAAATAAGGAATATTTTTAAAGAATATGAAACACATAAGTGCAATAATATTTTATTTTTTTTTTTTATTAACATTCTGCATTTTGCGCTGCATATGCAATATTTTTTTTTTTTTTAAACAAATTTTTAAATTTCAATATAATATAATAATAATATAGAAACATAAAGAATATTTGATCGATTTTTTAAAATAATTTCCATTTTTATTGTGTAGAGTAATCATTGTTTTTTTTTTTTTTGCTAATTAATTTTTAATAAGAACAAATTTTCAAAAAAAAAATTTTCCTCTTTTTTTTCTACATTTGTTGTCACAATTTTTCTTCTCTTATATAAAAAAAGGGTTGATGTTGTTATACAAGTAACATTTAATTTTTATTGCTCTTATAATAATTATAATATAAATAATATCGTCTCAAAAATGAACGATTTGAAAAGAAAATTGATTTATTTTCCATTCTAAAGGAACCTTTTAACATTGTTCGTTATATATTATTTTTTTTTTCATCTACAATGCAAATTTATAACATTGAAGAATTTTCTTTATTAAAAAAAAAAAAAAAAAGAAAACCCAACTAAAATTTATATGTACATGATGTGTAATTAACACACACACTTGGACTATATATATAATACAAAGAAAGAAACATCTTTGGGTTTTGTTTGCATTTTACTATTATGCCTGTATCACATTCACCATTATAATTTTTTTTTTGTTTTTGTTTAATGACTTAGTTTTTTTTTTTTGAAAATTATTTACAAAATATCGTGACCTACGATAGGAGCTGTATAAATGAAATCTTTTTTGTTACAAAAAAAAATTTTCTGAATTAAAAAGCGACAAATCTGTTAAATTTAATTTCTTGTTTTAAATTCCATATGAAGTTCTTTCTAAAGTAGTGAAAATTTAAAATAAATTCAAATTGAAGTTAAAAAATTAAGTTTTTTTTTAAAAGAAAATTAGAAATTTTTTTTTTTTCATGTTTATATAGCTCTAGGTGGTGATATTTTGGAGAATTGCACAAATTTTTTTTTTTCATTTTTTTTTTTTTTACCAACGAATGTAACTTTTGTATTCCTCGTTAACACTGAATCTCTTGATGGTCTCGTATCCTAATATTATTGAACAACTAAAACAAGCGGATTGCACGAGTCTCGCTGAAAGCCCTTTTGTAAACATTTTTAGTCGTTCCTCAACCCACAGTACTCTCAATGCATTATACATATTGTCGAGTCGTTGAACTTGCAATCTGGCTCGCACTATATCCAATGGATTTGTAATAATTGTTGTAGTAAAACCTCCTAAAGTGCCAGCGACCGACTGAATAAACAAATGGCTTACCCACGATGGCAAAATCCTTATTAATTCCTCTGCAAATTATACTTTGTTAACAACAACAACAACAATAACAACAACAATAATAATAATTTAATTTAATAAATAAAATTAATTTTTTCCAATTTATTATTTTCTGAATAAATTTTTTTATATTGCGAAAAATTTTACTGTTTCGTTAATGAAAATAGTAGAAAAAAACTACCTTGATAAGTTGTGTACAAGCCCCACCATAATGCACTGTTAGGAACGTATGCACAAAGAGAAGCTATGTATCCTCTATAAAATCCTCGTAAACCATCACGTTGATATATCAATTTTACTATTTCTGATGAGATTTGCGCCCGGGACATTCCTGGTTGCAAATTCAATCCCAATGGATTCATACTCATCTATAATAAAACGAAATTTTGAATCATTGTCCAATATGGAATGTTGCACATTTAGTTCATTTCCCTATTAATTTAATTTATTTTATTTCAATTGAATCACCTATTTTTTTTAAATAATCTTTTTTTAATTAATTAATCACCTATTCTTTTAATTAACTTTTTTTTTATTAATTAACACTTTTTTTAATTAATCATACTTTTTGTTAATTAACTTTTTTAATTAATTACCTCTTCTATTAAATAAGTTTCATGTTAATTAATTTTTTTTATTAATTACCTTTAGAATTAATTAATTATACCATTAATTAACTCTTCTTTTACTTAATTACCGTTATTAATTATTAATACCCTAAATTATCTTTTTTATTAATTAACTTTTTCAATTAATTACCTTTATTAATTAATTATACCCTAAATTTCCTTAATTAAATTACATTTTCTGTTAATTAACATCTCTATTAATAATTTTTTCGTTAATTACCTTTTCCATTAATTAATTATATTCTTAATTATTTACCGTTTTTATTAATTAGTTATACCCTTAATTACCTCTTATTTTAATTAATTACCTTTTACATTAATACCTTTTTTATTAATTAATTATACCCTTAATTAACATTTCTTTTAATTAATTAGCGTTTTTATTAATTAATTATACAATTGATTAACTCTTCTTTTAATTAATTACCGTTTTTATTAATTATTAATACCCTAAATTACCTTTTTTATTAATTAACTTTTTCAATTAATTACCTTTATTAATAATTCATTATACCCTAAATTTCCTTAATTAAATTACATTTTCTGGTAATTAACATCTCTATTAATAAATTTTTTGTTAATTACAGTTTTTATTAATTAATTATATCCTTCATTTATTACCGTTTTTATTAATTAGTTGTACCCTTAATTACCTCTTATTTAAATTAATTACCTTTTATATTAATACCGTTGTTATTAATTAGTTGTATCATTAATTACATCTTATTTTAATTAATTACCGTTTTTATTAATTAATTCTACCCCTTATTAACTCTTCTTGTAATTTCTTTTTGTTTTAATTAATTAATTATATCCTTTATATTAATTGATAAATTTCCCTGTTAAATATATTTATATATATATATATATATTGATGAAAACTCACTTTATCTACAACCAATTTTCCATGTTTAACATTGACGCCAAGCACCATTAAATGTTGACTAAGAACATCAAAAGGTATAACAATACTATGTCCCACTAAGCTCGCTGCACCACCTCCAATTAATGCCTTGACCCTTGAATCCAGTGACGATGTGACTGAATTTTGACTGAGAAGATGTCGTACACCTTCGTATGTTGTCGCATAAAAAACACCTGAGACTATTTGTATCGAGCTTATCCAAAATCCTCGATAAAGGCCTGCCATGCCTTCGTAAAGGTAAATTTTTCGATAAGCGTCTATCATGCCTGAACAATAAATATGATATTGTTATTATTTTTTATTCTAAAGAAAAATTTAATTTAAAAAAAAAATATTTAATTATACATTAATTTTTTTATTCATGAAATTTTAAAAATTAACTTAATTAATTAATTAAAAAATAATTTTAAATAATAAAAATAGTAATTATTAATAAATATTTAAAAACATTAATTAATTAAAAATTAAACTAAATTAAATTATTTTTTCAATTTTCTTCTAAATTAATTATGTTTAAGTTATAAATTAATTTCAAGTATATTTTTTTACTTATTTTTGAATAAACGCGCGAAAAATTGAAATGACCAATGAACGAGAATAACATAACACATGCGCATAAAGAGGTCGATATAAATTTTCCATATGGGAATGTAATTTAAAAATACATACAATTATTTACTGGTTAATTTCATTAATTAGCATACATTTTAAATTACAAAGAAAATAATACCGCGATAATTAGCACAACGATAATCCACGTGAACTTTGATAATAATTATTTTATTCCGAAAAATTAACTTTGTAATTTAATTGTAAAAAAGGAGATAATTTTTTTTACAACTACTTTCAAATAAAGAAGTAACAAAATATTAACTTATTTATTTTAATTTTTTTTTTTTTTTTAAATTGTGATTTTATATTTTTAAATGTTGTTTTTCAATCAATGACTGTTTCTTTTAAATTAAATTTAAATAAATAATTGTAATAATAACAAAATCATAATAAATAATTAAAAAAAATAATAATTTAATTTTCAATAAAAATAATTTAAAAATAAAAAAATTGTTAAAAATTTGTTTGAAAGTAGTTAAAATATAAAAAAAAATCAGTTATTTCATTTTTTCTTCATTTTTTCCGTTTTTTTTACTGAAATTGAAAAATGTAAATATACACTGAAAGAAAATATTTAAGAAATATCAATAAGTATAGTGAAAATTTTAATAAATATTAAAAAACGTGTCAAAATGTGAAATATTTCAATTTTTAATAAATGTATTTCAAATTTTTGTACACTGAAAAAAAAATTTATTTGATTCAAATACTTGATTACTTGAGTATTATCAAATAAATATTTATTTGAACCAAATAATTTTTATTCGAATTAAATAAATTGTATTTGAACCAATAATTTCTGTACTTAAAACAAATACCATTTAATTGACTCAAATAATAATTATTTGATACAAATAAATATTTATTTGATAATAGTCAAGTAATGGAGTGTTTGAATCAAATAAATTTTTTTTTCAGTGTACGTATTTACAAACTTGAATATAATTTTTAGTAATTTTAATAAATTGTGACGCGCTCTGAAGAAAGAGGACCTTAGAAGCAAACGAATTATAGGTTATGTTTACGATAATTTTACCTTGATTAAAAGTTTCTTTCTAATATAAAATAAAAATTAGTTTTTATTGAATATTTCGGATGTAATAAAAATTTAAATATCAATAATTTGTACATTGAGAATTGATCCTCTGTGTGTATTTTCACTTCGATATTTTAAAACATAACCTATCATTTTTTTGCCTCTAACGTCCCTTTCTTCAGAGAGCGTTACAAATTTTAATTTTTTGTTTAATTTCTGAAAATAAGTATTTTATTTTCATATATCAATTTTTGCCATTTTGACACATTTTTCTTGTAACATATTTATCAAAATTTCGACTCTATTGGAAATTTCTTAATATATTTTAAGTGTAAAAAAAAAAATTTATTAATCCCATTACCAGTGTACATGTGATTTCGTCTTTGAATTTGAAGTCGTGTTTTGATCACAGTCAATGGATAGAGGCAGCAACGGACTGAAAATGACGAGAGCATGCTCAGTGGAAAAAATTTTGTTTTGTCCATCATGTCCCATTCGATGGTGCGAATAAAAGGCGGTGTCTCCACTGAAGACATGTTTCAATGGTAAAATCAAAGAATTTCTTGTTTTTAGATTAACTCGGGACTTATTGTACAATGACTTATAAAAATTTAATTGCTTGATTTTGCACATTTCAAAAGCCTTTTCTGGGCATTACTACCCACGTCTTACTTTCAAATGTTGAACATATACCTGTAAGAAAAATAAACAATTATTATTATTTATCTTTTAATTTATAAAAATGAAATGAATTCAAAAAAAATCACAATTATCGTTTCAATAAATAATGATAACATTACTTTTTGTTGACTCTATTATTGAAAAAAAAAATGAGATTAAAAATGTTTCATAAATTCCTCAACTAAATCAAAAAAAAAAAAATTATTAACAATTTATAATTAGTAACATTATTATATATCTATTGATGATAATAGTACAAAATTCTTTTGATATTAAAATCAAAGAAATGAAATAAACTGGTAGAATTATTAAAATTGATTAGAATTGATTAAAACACTGATAAAAAAAAAAATGTAACTTAAGATGAAATTTTAATTTAAGAAAAAATATAGTTTATATACGTCACGTCAAGGTTACCCGGTATAAAAATGAGCCAAAGGTGATTTATAAACTAAAAATTGCATACACAAACACATATTCTATATATATAATTATTAAACAAAACAAAGTGAAAAAATAATGAAAATTTATCTACTTACAATGACGTAACAAAATTACACTTAAAAAAGAAAAAATGATGAAATCTTCTCCAGTGTATGTTGACACTTTAAACTCGTATTAATTCCTAAAAATTATATAAAAATATAAAAAAGTCTCATTAAAAAAAAATAATGATTTTTTAAAAAATGTATTACAAATTATTTTGTTTTTTTTTTTTAAATTAAATTTACAATGCACTTATTTTTATGTAATAAATTGAAATAACAACGAGCAGAAAGACACGCAAGATTGTTAAATGAAAAAAATAGAAATTAGAACACAAGCAGAAGCCATGAAATTTTATTTTTCGGAGCACTACCTTTGTACTGCGCATGACACTATTAGAACCAGGCTGTCCTCTCTTTACAAGTTATTTCTATACTCTGCTGATAAGTAGATGAATGAAACTCGTTGGGTATGTTTAAATGAAACTCGTTGGGTAAGTTAAAATTAAATTCGTTGGATAAATTCATAGTTACCTCAAATTGATATAAAAGGGCATCTGTTAAATTTTTTCAAAAAAAAAATTTTATAGTACAATTTTTGGTTCACAAATTTATTATTATATTTTTATTAATAATAATAAAAATATTTTTTTTATTTTTTATTAACATTTTTATGGTTTTAATTTTTTTAATTATTATTATTTATTACAATTATTTATTACTAATATTTATTATTATTATTATTATTATTATTATTATTATTATTATTATTACTGTTATTTCTATTATCATTATCATCATTATTATATTTTATTTTTTATGCACTTTCTTCAAATGTTTATTAACTATCAATAAAAAAATGTTATGCTTTTTATTGTAGTTTATTATAATACAGAGCAACAAATTAACAGTTACCATAGAAATCGTTACTATGACCATTTTTCCTTAGTAACCATTGCTAAGGACTTTTTATTCTTAAGAGCGGTTGCTATGAGTTTTTTTTCGTTAGCAACGGCCGCTAAGAACTTTTTATCCTTAGAAACGGTTGCTATGGATTTCTTTGGAAAGGTTCCCTAACGGAAGGTTTCCTAACTGAAGATTTTCTAACTGAAGGATTCCTAATTGAAGGATTCCTAACTGAACGATTCCAAAGTGAAAGATTTTTAAATGAAGGATTCCTAATTAAAGGAATCCTAACTGAACAATTCTAAAGTGAAGGATTTCTAAGTGAATGATTCCTAACTGAAGGATTTCTAAGTGAATGATTCTTAACTGAAGGTCCCCTAACTGAAGGATTTCTAACTGAAGGATTCCTAATTGAAGGATTCCTAACTGAACGATTACAAAGTGAAGGATTTCTAACTGATAGATTCCTAATTGAAGGAATGCTAACTGAACGATTCCAAAGTGAAGGATTTCTAAGTGAATGATTCCTAACTGAAGGTTCCCTAACTGAAGGTTTCCTAACTAAAGATTCCCGAACTGAAGGATTTGTAACTTAAGGATTCCTAATTGAAGGATTCCTAACTAAATGATTCCAAAGTGAAGGATTTCTAACTGAAGAATTCGTAAGTGAATGATTCTTAAGTGAATAGGTTCCCGTACGGAATGTTTCCTACCTAAAGATTCCCTAACTGAAGGATTTCTAATTGAAGGAATCCTAACTGAACGATTCCAAAGCAAATCCATAGCAACGGTTGCTATATATTTTTTTCCTTAGCAACGGTTGCTATAGATTTCTTTTCCTTAGCAACGGCTTCTAAGGACTTTTTATCCTTAGCAACGGTTGCTATGAGTTTTTTTTCCTTAGCAACGGTCGCTAAGGAATTTTTATCCTTAGCAACGATTGCTATGTATTTTTTTCCTTAGCAACGGTTGCTATGGATTTATTTTTTTAGCAACGGTTGCTATGTATTTTTTGCCTTAGGAGCGGTTGCTATGGATTTCTTTTCCTTAGCAATGGTTAAAATCATAATTGAATAAATAATTAATAAAAATTATTTAATTTATTTATTAATAATTTTGCAATGTAGAAATTGTTTTTTTTTCTTTTCACTTTTTTTGCATTGATATTTAATAGAAATGAAAGAAAATTGTCTTAACTATTATATAATAATGCAACTCAAAGGATTTGTGTGACAATTATCTTAGAATGGCTACGCGATGTAATAGACCGCTAAAGTTAATTTTCCTCCTTGTGACTTCAGACGTGTAATGCATGTTAGAAGCTTCACTGAACAGTGTTTACATCCCTGTGGATAATGATGAGAGGAGAGGGGGTGAGCAAACCGATATTAGTCATGCCATTGAACCATGAAATTATAATATATCGAAATACAACATTTTCATTTTAATTCGTTGTAATATAAAATAATTATTTATTTCCTAGAATTCAGTTTTAGACATTTTTTTTAAAAATTTTTATTTAATTTTTCCAGTTACTCCCTCTACTAGGTCTTTACATTGATTTCTAAATATTATACATATTTAGTATATATCCGTAAGAGAAAGAGTAACAGTAATAGTAAATATATTAGTTATAGTAATAATTGTTAAAATAATAGTAAAATTAATAGTAAAAATAATAGTAATAATAATAATAGTAAAATAATAGTAGTAATAGTAAAAATAATAGTAATAGTAATAATAGTAAAATAATAGTAATAATAGTAGTAGTAATAGTAGTAGTAATAGTAAAAATAACAGTAATAGTTATAATAGTAAAATTAATAGTAATAATAATAATAGTAAAATAATAGTAGTAATAGTAAAAATAATAGTAATAGTAATAATAGTAAAATAATAGTAGTAATAGTAAAAATAATAGTAATACTAATAATAGTAAAATAATAGTAGTAATAGTAAAAATAATAGTAATAGTAATAATAATAAAATAATAGTAGTAATAGTAGTAGTAATAGTAGTAGTAATACACGGAGAAAAAAGATTTCTTTTATAAAGTAACTTTTACTACTTTCAGAGTAAAACTGGACCAACTCGAAGTTTCTGCGCATCTCTGGCAATTTTTACTCCAAAAATAGTAAAATTTACTCTAGAAATAGTAAAACTTACTACGAAAACAGTAAAATTTACTACAGAAATAATAAATTTTACTATTTTTGGAGTAAAAATTGCCAGAGATGCGCAGAAACTTCGAGTTGGTCCAGTTTTACTCTGAAAGTAGTAAAAATTACTTTTTCTTTTTCTCCGTGTAGTAGTAGTAATAGTAAAATTAATAGTAATACTAATAATAGTAAAATAATAGTAGTAATAGTAAAAATAACAGTAATAGTTATAATAGTAAAATTAATAGTAATACTAATAATAGTAAAATAATAGTAGTAATAGTAAAAATAATAGTAATACTAATAATAGTAAAATAATAGTAGTAATAGTAGTAGTAATAGTAGTAGTAATAGTAAAATTAATAGTAATACTAATAATAGTAAAATAATAGTAGTAATAGTAAAAATAATAGTAATACTAATAATAGTAAAATAATAGTAGTAATAGTAAAAATAATAGTAATAGTAATAATAGTAAACATAATAGTAAAAATGTAATTCAATTTCTAACGAAATAGACCTATTTGACAATAATTTAACAAGATTCACCTCGGCATTATGTAGATTAATACTAAATAATAATTAAAATGCACCAACCTAGTTATAATTATATTTATATTTTTTATATACAAGTTTGTATCTATATTATAATAAGTACTATTGTACGAAAGGGCATGTCCCGTTAACTTAATAAATGAAATGAAATGAAAAATAATTGCAATAGTAATAATAGTAAAATAATGGTATTAGTAGTAGTAATAGTAAGAGTAATAATAGTAAAATTATTGACAATTTAAAAATACCAATACCTATTTGATTATTACTGAATGAACAACCAACTTAAAATTGTTGTGAGCAAACAAACTAAAATTCACTCTATTCAATCAAATACGTGTATTGAAAATATCAATAACTGTCAAGACGCCGATAGCTGCCGATTGTGGCAGTGATTTGAAATTTTATCTTGACATTTTATTCCCATCAATTCTTTTGTCAACTCAACTCAAAAAAAAAAAAAATAGGTATAATAGTGTTTCAATTTCTTTTCAGACATTTTTACATGTATCTATCAGACTGTCAAAATTTGTAACAGTACAAATATGTAAGACCCATATGCGTTTGTACCCTATATATATATAAATATTATTTTATGACATATATGTATATGAGTAACTGGTGGCGACGGGGAAAATTGAGTTTTAGTAAAATATTTAATTAAATCGTATTTCATTTTCCCCTTCGTATATATATATATATATATATATATGTATGGAGTGCTGATATTTTACAAACAATAGAAATGCATGCACTGTCGGATTTTGTGTTTGCAAATTATTAGTCATGGTCTATAAATTGTATTTTCAACCACATAACTGGTTGGTATTCAACTTAGGTAAATATTGAATTCTGTTATTGTATTATTACATCAATGTTAATTTGAAATTTCGATAATTAGTTATTGTAAAACTTTCGATTTTTGAAACGAGAATACATATCATTGTTGATTGAAAAATTGCCAGAGTAAATTAAAAAAAAAAAAACATATGGTTTAAATTGAAAACTAAATTGTTTATTATGGAAAGGAATATAGTCTGACTGAAAATGTTTTTTACTACTGAAAAATAAAATTGGAACAATTTAAAAAGTTTTTGTCTGACTGAAACAAACTTTGACTACTTATTACAAAATTATTATAATCGCTATATGTAAATAATAACGATTTTTTAATCTTTTTGTCACTGACCATTAACAATGAAATTGTAAAAATTTAAAACCTTTTGTCTGACTAAAACTGATTTATACTACTGAATACAAAATCTAAAATATAGTAAAATTAAAGATTATCTTGATTTTTGAGATTTATTTAGATCAAAGAAGTTACTTGTAGTTTATGATTACCTACTCTCTAAATCTGAATTAGTAAAAATGTTTACTAATTTCAATTAGTGACTCACTTTTTGCTTCTGAATTAGTAAAATTTTACTAATTATTAGTAACTTTTACTAACAATTAGTAAAATTTAACTAATTCTAAAGCAAAAAGTGAGTCACTAATTTAAATTAGTAAACATTTTTACGAATTCAGATTTAGAGAGTACTCACGATTTATTTGGTTCAGTTAGTTTATTTTTCAAAATTCATAATGGCGGATCCAAAATGGCGGTCATTTTTAAAAATCGCTCGAAATGCTTTGAAACTTATTACCCGGTGGTTTTCGGGGTCGCTGACTACGAATCCGATGTCAGTTTTTCCAAATTCACTTTAGTGGATTCAATATAGCCAAAAAAAAAAAGAAAATTTTAATTGATCCGATTCGTTTGAAACTCGTAAAAATAATTTTATTTTAAAGAATTTCCATAAAATTTTTATCATTTTTTATAAAAAGGAAAGATATATCAAAAAATATTTTTAACGTTTCGAAATCGATATCAGTTTCCTCCTTGGAATTTATTAATCTATATAAACAATTATTATGATTATTTTATTTATAAATTTTCTTTTGAAAATTACAAATGCTATCAAAAATTAAATACATATCAAATTTTGACAATTTAAAGACAAATTTTGAGTATAATTGTGAGTAAATCCGATGAATTAATAATAATTTTTAACTATTATAATTTTAATAAATCATTATAATTATAAACAAGATGTAAATTTAGATGTTTATTACATGAACATTTTGCTTCCTCTTTACGATCAGCAAAAAAATTTGCTTCCTCGTGGAGAAAGCATTAACATTAAAATAAACATACATTAATAATATAATAATATAAACATTTCAGTATACATTTGAGTTAAATTTAAAAAATTAATGGAAGTTAAAAAATCAAAAATTCACATTTTAGCTGAAATTTCTGAAAATTAATGAAAAATAATATATAATTTATAATTATTTACAATTATATCGGTTTGTTTCAATGCAAGGAACACAATTATTTTATATTTAAACTTGAATTTATAAATAAATACAAAATTTTTCAGCTAAAATGGGAATTTTTTGTTTTAACTTTCATTAATTTATTAAATTTACCTGAAATGTATATTTTATATATACCAATCGATTCGTTTTCATGCAAGGAATACAATTATTTCATATATAAACTTCAATTTAAAAAATCACAAAATTTTATTGACAAATGTGAATTTTTGATTTTTTTTTAACTTTCATTAATTCTTTAAATTTAAATTGAAACTATACTTTATATATACCAATCGATTTGTCTTGACGTAAGGAATACGATTTTATTATATATAACCTTAAATTTGTCTATTTAAAAATTTTTTCGATTAAAAAAAAAATTTTTGGAAAAAGACGATAAAATTTTTTTTCTTTTGGGTATTTTTTAAAATCCTTTGGTCAGATTTGGGATATTAATATGATTAATGAGCAAGCTTGCCGCGTAAGCTTGCTGCAAGTTTGTCTGAGCTAGCGAAATGTTCCACTCAGGGAAAGCTTGCCGTGAAAGCTTGCTGTAAGCTTTCCAGGAAAGGTTGCTGCAATCTTGCCATGAAAGATTGCTACAAGATTGCTGCAAGCATACTAAGAATGATTGCGGCAAGCTTGCCGTGAAAGATTGCTGTAAACTTGCTACGTAAGGTTGCAGGAGAATTTCAACAAGCTCCTGGAAGGTTGCTGCAAGGTTGCTGCAATTTAAAAAAAATACATTTTTAATTAAAAAAAAATTTATTTGTTTTCTAAATTTGAAAATCCTTGTGACGTTTATTATTATTATGAATGTCCTGTTTATTTTCATTTGGAAACTTAACGAGAAAATTTTCGAAACAAATTTGAGGGGACTGGGAATTGAACCCGGGTTCGACAGACACTAACCAAAGACTTACAGCAATCTTTCACGGCAAGCTGGCCGCAATCATTCTTAGTATGCTTGCAGCAATCTTGTAGCAATCTTTCATGGCAATATTGCAGCAACCTTACCTGGAAAGCTTACAGCAAGCTTTCACGGCAAGCTTGCCCTGGGTGGGACATTTCGCTAGCTCAGACAAGCTTGCAGCAAGCTTGCGCGGAAAGATTGACAACCTTGCATGGTAAGCTTGCCGCAATCATTCTTAGTATGCTTGCAGCAATCTTGTAGCAATCTTTCATGGCAAGATTGCAGCAACCTTTCCTGGAAAGCTTACAGCAAGCTTTCACGGCAAGCTTGCCCTGGTGGGACATTCGCTAGCTCAGACAAGCTTGCAGCAAGCTTGCGCGAAAAGACTGACAACCTTGCACGGTAAGCTTGCCGCAAGTTTCCGTGCTATCTGGGATATAACATGTTTCTACATAGAAAAAATTTGTTTTCGCCACTTTGAAAATTTTTATAAACGAAAGGACTACAAAGCTTCCTCCTACGTGGAAGCAAAATTATCAATTAACAATTTATAAACAAAATAATCTTAATAATTACCTATAAAATAGTTTAATAAATTCGAATGAGAAAACCGGTTTTAAAAAGATGATTTTTGCTGTATCTTTTCTCTCCTAAAAATTGCTAAAAATTTTTATAGAAATTCTGTAAAATAAAATTGTCGATAAATAAAAAATTCGTTTGAATATTAAAAATTCCCTGAAATGTTAATTAAAAAAATTAAAAATTCGTCAAAATATAAAATTCTATTTTTAATTTCTGTTATATGTTTTGAAAATCTCATCCAAGGAAACGAAATTTGTTAACGTGGAACGCCTTGTGTTCGACGTCATCAGCTTTAGGCGACGGAACGGATTGTTCGACAATTATTAGACGACAACGGTCTTTGCCTTTCAATCCCCTCATTCTATAACCTTCATGGTGGAGGAGGGGGTGAGTTTGAAGAACGGATGATGTATGCGTATGTGTGTGTGTGAGGAAGTTATATGAACACAGCATGAAAAGGGGTACACACGAAAGGTTGGGGATTATATATTCGAGGGGAATGTGGCGGGTGGTTGTGGATAGTCAAAAGGGGGTAAAGGGTGATGAGGTCAAAGTGGGAGAGAATTGAGAAACGGGGTGGAATTTCGCGCGTGCTCGGCTTCTCTTCCGGCTGCTGAGGGGGATTCTGGACCCGCTTCGTTCCGCGCGTGAGGTGTTAGTTCCGCGCGCGATTTCCATCAAGTAGGATGTTATATTATCGAATTTAATTAAAAGTGGTACTTTTTTTTTTCCCGCCAAACAACCACACTTTGTTTTCGAATTATTTTTTTGCATTTTATTATTCGACATTATCAACAATTCGAGCAAAAAAAAGAAAAAAAAATTGTTTAGTGAAAACTTGGACAATTGTGCCCAAAAAAAATTTGATATTTTATTTAAATTCTTTTTTTCATTTTGAAAATAATCAACGGGAGAGAGAAAAATTGCATTTTCTTCGAAATGTCCAGGGATAATTATGTATGTAATTTTTTAATTATAAAACATATTTTCCATTTTTGAATATATATGAGGTGAAAATTTTTTGTCTTACAAAATTTTCGAAAAAAAAAATTTAATCGAAATTTTAATTCAAAATTTTTTTTTTTTTGCAAATAAAGGAGAAATATTTATACGGACATTATTTTTTTTTTTTTATATTTTCGTTGAAATTTTTTTTTGTTTAATGAAGAAAATGTATTTTCACCTACCGCATTCAAAGGGAAATTATTAATATATATTTTGTATTAAAATGAGTACGTGCAACTTTCATGAGCTCAAAAAGAGCCTGCAGTTATATGAGAAAATCCTTTGAGTTTACATATAAATTTAAAATACGTCGCATATATATATATATATTTTTTTTTTCCGGTATAATAAAAATGCTGTTTTTCATTTGGAAAAAAGGGATGTTCATTTTCTTAATAGTATGTCCCCTCTGAAATACCACAAACTCGAGGGGAAGGGGGAGGGGGGTACTTATTAACAGAAAATAAGCGACCAGCATTCTGTGTCACTCCAGTAATTAGTGACTGTATATAATATCATGCGCTCGAGAATATTTCGAATAATTAAGAAGCATTTTTTATATATAACAGGCGCACTGGTAATTAATGATTAAATAAATTAGGTCCTAAGGTTTAAACTAAAATTTGCAAAAACGAATATTTAATTTTAAAAAATATAATAATAGAAAAATTTTTGTGCCCTAATATATTATTTTCTGAAGTAAAAATTTTTTTTTACCATTGGTTGTAAAAAAATTTCTAAAACTATATTTTTTTTTATTATGGAATATTTGAGATGGCTATTTTTCATTTTTTTTTAAAAACAGTTAATTACTTCAATTAGTTTTTTAGGTAACAGGAAACATTGTACGTTGAAAATTGATGTAATTGTAGAAGTACATCGACTATCCTTTCTTTTTCATTTGTGCTTTTCGATATTCGATACCTGTCTATCTGCATATAATCCCTTCGTTGAATGATCCATTTTGTGAATTTCCTCTCATTTCTATCTTTCTCTATACTACACTTTATGGATTATTTCGAAAGTCCTTAAAATTTCCATTCACTCGTCAAAATTAATTTTTTTCTTCTTTTTCTTTTTATTATTAAAGAAAAAGTAATAAAAAATTTTTTCACAAAAATATTTATTATTAAATTTACAAATTAGGAATAAAACATTTGTTATAAAATAAAGTGAAACAAAATAAATTTTATATTCTTTTTAAGGATTAAAAATTATTTTCGAAACATAACAATATAAGAATACACCCAGAGAAATGATTTATTTGAACCAAATAAAATATATTTGAGTTAAATAAACGTATATTTGTCTCAGAGCCTACTAACTTATTTATTTGGCATAAATAAAAATTTTATTTGTCAGAAATAAATTTTTCTTTGGCTCAAATAAATTTTTTATTTCAACGAAATGAAATATATTTGCAACAAATAAATGAGTTAGTAGGCTCGGAGACAAATATACAATTTCTCTGAGTGTAGTCTGTTAATTAATTGTAATATAAATTTTTGTCAGGGAGAATTTTTTTTTTGCAAAAAGTATAAAATTAAATTTTTATTTGAAACAAAAAAGTTATTGTACTAAAAAAAATTTATTTGATTCAAATACTGGTGTATTTGGTTATTATCAAATAAATATTTACTTGAATTAAATATATAGTATTTGAATCAAATATTTCAGTATTTGAAGCAAATACCATTTATTTGATTCAAATAGGAAATATTTGATTCAAGTAAATATTTATTTGATAATAATCAAATACACCGGTATTTGAATGAAATAAATTTTTTTTTTCAGTGTGGATTAAATCTTAATTTTAAACAATATTGTTGGTTTTATTTTTAAATTGTTCGGATCAGTGGTCCGTATTACATTTTTATGCGTGTCACATACTCATTCATCCGTGAGTGGGCATGTAAATTCGTCCTCTCACGTATTCTCGTATTCAAGCGCACGTTCTGGGGTCTAAAACCAGTGCATTGATTAGTCCATTTCAGGAGACTTGAGAGGAGAATATATATATATATATATATATATATATATATATATATATGTATATACAGCTTCTGAGACAATTAAATTCTCTCAATTACAGATGTCGAAAATAATTTAATTGCGAAAGGAATTACAATAATGGTGATTTGAAAAATTGAAAAGACTACAATTTACAATATTAAATAGAATTAGATTTAAAAAAAAAAACTTAAAAAAATAGAATATACCAAAAATATATGGTTAAATTTTGTCTGACTGAAATAGAATTTTACTACTGATATCACAAAACCACAAGGTCTGACTGAGAATAATTTCTACTAGAACTCAGTGTAATTAAAAATACATAAAATTGTGAGATATTAAAATAAGAGCTCTTATTTTAATGAAATTTTAATTTATTTTAATTTTCCCATTAAAATGAAATCTTATTTTAATATCTAAAAATTTTCTAACCAAAATATCCAAATTTTTTTTGTGATGATATGCAATGAAAAAAATTATTTATTTAATTCAAATAATCGGTTACCTATTAGCAAATAAATATTTATTTGAATTAAATAATTTTTATTTGATTCCAAACTGTATTTGAAGCAATAATAATTTCTGTATTTGAAACAAATACCATTTAATTGACTCATGTAATAATTAATTGATGCAAAATAAATATTTATTTGATAATAGTAAAGTAACTGAATATTTGAATTAAATAAATATTTTTTTCAGTGTGTGTCTGACCTAAATGTTATTATACTACTGATATGTCTATTTTTTAAATTATTTATTTTATTTAATTAAAACTGTCTTTTTCTACTCAAATAGGAAAATAAATGTCTGACTAAAAGTGTCTTTTACCACTTAATACAAACGTATATTACACAGAAAATTATAAGGTATTAAAATAAGCTGCAACGCTTATTATTTTAATTCCTTTTAATTTTCTGTGTACTTTTGACAGTTTAAAATCACTTTTACTATTTACAGTTGACTTTAAACAAAAGGTAAAAAATTGTCTGACTGTAGTTGGCTTTTACTACTAGTTTTTTATATTTTGTCTGACTGAAATTGACTTTCACTACTGCGACTAATATTTATAATAATGTAAAATATTCTGTATATGATTGCTACTATTTTTTATTACTGACAAAATATTAGAAAAAATTTACAACTTTTTGTCTGACTAAAACGGTCTTTTACTACTTACATTGGAGAATTTAACGAATTTAAAGCGTTTTGGCTAAAAATTGGTCATTTACGACTGAAAAAAATTATAATTTTGAATGTCTGACTAAAACAAACTTTTACTACTTATTTCAAAATTGAGAGAATTTAGCGTTGTATTATTTATTTTTAATATTGTTTTTGTTGTTGTTATTATTATTTTCTGTGTACTTTTGACAGTTTAAAATCACTTTTACTATTTACAGTTGACTTTAAACAAAAGGTAAAAAATTGTCTGACTGTAGTTGGCTTTTACTACTAGTTTTTTATATTTTGTCTGACTGAAACTGACTTTCACTACTGCGACTAATATTTATAATATTTTAAAATATTCTGTATATGATTGATACTATTTTTTATTACTGACAAAATATTAGAAAAATTTACAACTTTTTGTCTGACTAAAACGGTATTTTACTACTTACATTGAAGAATTTAACGAATTTAAAGCGTTTTGGCTAAAAATTGGTATATACTACTGAAAAAAATTATAATTATAATTATTTTATAATTGAGAGAATTTAGCGTTCTATTATTTATTTTTAATATTGTTTTTGTTAGTATTATTATTATTATTATTATTATTATTATTATTATTTATTTATTTATTTATTTTTATTTTTCTTCTTATTTTTATTATTATCATTATTTAATATATTTATAATGATGCACAATCTACAAGAGTTTAAAAATGATTTTTCCAACATGATTGAAGAGCAATTTTAAAATAGACTTTTCCTTTTTCATGAATTTTTTATGTCGCGTGATTTTTATGAACGTCAGCGAGATAAGCAAAAAAAAAAAAAAAAAAAAAAATTTTTTTGGCTGAGTAACGTAATAACCTGAATTGCGAAATGCCAAGGGATTTAAGTTTCACGATAAACACAAAACAGATTAACCTTTTCTGCCTTCTTCTTTTTTTTTTTCTTTTTCTTTTTCTTTTTTTTCAGCCCAGAGTCGGTAAGAGAACTCATAAAACTTGCTAACCGCCGCTCAATGAGAGAATTCCTACGCTCTTTTTCCCGTCCGGGGTAAATAGAAAGTAGTAAAGTTTCAACGCCTCAAGCGATTCTTTGCCTCCTGTACCTCGGACTTGAGAGAGTATACACAAAATTTTACGAAATCAAAAAGACTTTCATTCACTTTTGAGCAGAAAAAAAGAAGAATTTATTTACTATAATGGAAAAGAACACTTAACTTGTTAACTGTGCAATTTATTATCACTTATAATATTCTTTGGAAATTGTATTTTTTTCTATTATTTATTAGTTTTTTTATTTGTTAAATATTTAATTTCTTTTTCTTTTTTTTATTACATTTTTTTTCTCTTATATTAGAATAATATTTTTAGCTTCAATTTTTTAATTTTAATAATAATTACCTTAAATATTATTTTAATGTTATTGGATAGAAAGAAAATTCTAGTTCAATTATTTCTACAGGGATTTAATATTCAACATTATCAAATATTTGATTAAAAATTCCAGATAACTTGTAACGATATATTTTTTAGTGTTTTAATATTTGAGATAAACTGTTTTATTGGCATTTTATTAAATGGAATTCAATTTAAAAAATAGTAAAATTTTTTTTTTATTACACTCAGAGTAAAGGTATATTTGTCTCCGAGGCGACTAACTCATTTATTTGTTACGAATATATTTTATTTCATTGAAAAAAAAAAATTTATTTGATCCAAAGAAAAATTTATTTCTGAGAAATAAAATTTTTATTTACGCCAA